TATAATATATATATATATTAATATATATTATATATATATATATATATAATAGAGTAATAATACATTCGACTACCCTTTATTTATTATGAATATAAATTTAAGTCTAACATCTACTAACTATGCAGATCTAAAAACGAAAATCTTGTCGTGGGTATAATTCTGGATAATGTGGGGTTTTGATCATCAATGCTAACATGTCTTAGGGTCGCGAACCCCGTAATGAAGGTTCTTCGGAGCGTTGATTCAAACTCCAAGCCAGCTATTGGTTTCATTTACCAGCCATGGTAAATGGGAAGAATGAAATCAAAGCAAACTTTAAAGATGTTCAAACAAGGTATTCTCTTGTTTGTCTATGTTTTTAGGTACGAACCGATTCATGAGATCATTGATGAAAGATGGCATAATCAACTAAATAAGGCGCTCCATGTGGCAAATTACTACTTGAAGCTAATGATATGATACTACCTTGATATTCAAAGTACAAGTTGGATTAAAGGAAAATTATACATGTGCCTCAAAAGAATTTATGGTGATGTTGAGAACCTAGTAAAGAAAATTGACTGTTTCATTAATACAAGAGGGTTCTATGGTCTCAATGAGGGTTCTTTGGTCTCAATGTAGCCATGTTAACAAGGGAAAAGGTTCAGGTGATTGGTGGGATTTGTAAGGAGCTGACATACCTGATTTGAGAAAGTTTTCCATGAAAAAATTGAGTTTGATATGTTCCTTATCTGGTTGTGAGAGTGAAATGCCTTTGAGATGGTAATTTACAATAACATTAACATTTTAATGCTACTTTTTTTATATCGTTATCTAATTTTTTAATCATTTCTTTATTTTGTTATATAGGTACATTCTAAGAGAAGTAATCGACTACATCAAGAAAAGAATAACGATCTTGTGTATGTGATGTACAACCTAGAGTTGAATCAAAGAGATTATAACAAAGAAGAAGAGTATGGCCAAGGGCGGTCCGTAGTAGGTTTTTCCGATGTAACATTTTATAGTAGAATTTTTTACGTAATGACACAATAAGTTAAAAAAAATCGAAATTTTTTCACTCCGTACAAGAAAAGCTGGAGTTACCAGTGCAATTGTGGGCACCTAATGAAAACCGTGACTGAGCATGGTGAACTTAAAACATTAAATCTTGATGATGTTAGTTCTGATGGTCAGTGAATTACTATTAAAGAGGAATCTTCTAATCATCTTCAAATGAAGTATGGATGAACCATTCTAATGGTTGATGTTCAAGTTAGTTAAAAGCTCTAAGCCATGTCCATGATGGTGGAGGAGATGATTATTTTGAAAGATCTATAAGAGATCAATTATGTGAGTTATTCATGTACTCCATACTTTTCAAATTGAGAATGATATTTTTTATTTTTTTAGTTTTATATGTCATGTTTTCCTTTAGATGAATGTGAAGTTGATGATAGAAGAAACTTAGGAGAAGATGATATTTTGAATTAAAAGAGGACAATGTTGTGGTTGTATCGTTTGTTATGTTAGACTATATTAGATGTCATTTGAGTTATGACTAATTTTTTGAACTTTTTATAACTTTTATTGATGGATAGGTATTTTTCATGTTTTAAACTTATTATTATGTCATTTTCAGTGGGATCTCGGGATCCTGATCCGATCTTACGATCAATGATCTTACAAACTTAAAAACAATTATATGTAAGATTTCAATCTTAACAACCTTGGTTTTAATGATATCAGTTTTACCCATCTAAAACAAAACCTTTTTGAGAAACTTGTTATAAGAAGTGAGTTTTTCCAAATGAAATGTATTTCCCATATCTTAAACCTAGTAAGTAGACGAATCAAAACTAATATGAATTTATTAAAACTCACGTGAATAATAAAAATATTATTTGATCAAATCGAAGATGCATATGGTCTAATTAGCGGATTAAGGTCGCACTAAAAGCAAGTGATGAAAATCCTCTAAAGAAAGAAAATATGTTGGATTCTATGAAACAAAATATGAACATCCCTAGATATTCAGAACGCTTAACAAACAGAATAAAAATACAAAATAAGTGAACTTTAGAGTTTACACCATTGCACTTAAAGGTTTTGTATACCTTATGATCCTTTGAGTCCATTTGAATTAGATTCTTATCTGTTCATTATTCTTTAAATGTTTTCCCATTATATCAAGCAACATATATATCTCTTTCGTTTGTTGGTGGGATTTATCCCCTTTTCTGAATTCATATGCCACGTTATCAACTTCAATCGAACTACAACCTGGACTCTTCTTGATCTTCCTTTCTTTCATAATCTTTCTCAACTTAAACGCATCCCTAAATCTGTTTTCAGATGAATACAAATTCGACATAAGTATAAAAGCACCATCTTTATCTTTATCCATCATCTTATCTACTTTTTCCATCACCCTTTTTCCAATCTCAACATTCTTGTGGGTCCCACAAGCCGCTAGTAATCCCCCATAAATCAACCCATCAGGTTCTATATTCATATTTTGTATAAAATCCTCAGCTTCACTTAACAATCCAGCACGACCTAAAAGGTCAACCATACACCCATAATGCTCTTTTTGAGGTTTAATATTGTGGACTTTTAACATGTTTACAAAATGTTTGAATCCTTCTTTTACAAATCCACAATGTGCACAAGCCATTAGAACAGCTAAATATGTTACATCATTTGGTGTTATTCCTATTTTAGGCATCTCAGAGAAAAGTTTTAGTGCCTTTTGTCCTTCACCATGTATTGCAAACCCAAGTATCATGTTTGTGTATGTATAAACATCTTTATGTTTCATATTATTGAAAACATAAGTGGCTTTCTTTATGTCTCCACATTTTGTATACATATCTAAAAGTGCGTTTCCTATAAATCCATCTATTTTAATCCCGTTTTTGTTTATGTAAGAATGTACCCATTTACCTTGTTTGAGTGTTCCTAAATTAGCACAACAATTGAGAACACCAACTAGAGTGATATTGTCGGGTTTGACTTTTTGACTTTGCATCTTTTTGAAAACATTCATGGCAATCTTGAAGTTTCCTTGTTGAATTAATCCTAGTATTATCGAGTTCCAAGAAACAATGTTTTTCAAAGGCATTTTGTTGAAGAGATTAATGGCTAAAGTTGGATTACCACATTTGAGATACATATCAACTAAAGCATTACATATGTAGACATCGAAATTCAAATCATGATCATAGATATATTGATGCAGTTTTATACCAAGATTAATGTCTCTTAATTTTGCACATGATGAAATCAAGATCACCATTGTCATCTCATCTGCTCTAACACCTGCTTCACACATCTCATAGAACACTTGAATTCCTTTTTCTAAACAACCCCTTTTCACATAGCCTTGTATCAACGTGGTCCAAGTCACTAAGTCTCTTTCAGGACTTTCATCGAACACCTTCTGGGCGCTTTCCATAACACCACATGCAGCATAAAAACTAATCAATGTGTTCACAACATATAAATTCAACACAAACCCGTTTTTAACCACGTGTGAATGTATCTGTTCGCCTTCTCTCAATGCGTAAGAAAGCTTGCACGAGTTCAGGACATAAGGGTAGGTAAAACTATCCCCAATCAAGCCTTTCGCAAGCAAATCACTGTAAAACAACAATGCGAACAGAGGGTTTTGATTCGAATGATTGAATGATCTTATGACGATGTTATAGAGATCGATTTTTGGGTTCTCGAGTTTGTTGAAAAGAGAGTGGATGTAGGTGATATCAGGAACGTGGTTTGATGTTCTAGCAGAGATAGAGATGATTGTGGTGTACACCAATTGTTGGGTTTGGTGTGGTAATGTTGGAGATGTTTTGATGATGTAGGAATGGATTTGTTTGAGTTCTTTTAAGGATTTACAAGATTTAAGTTTGTGGATAATTGAGGAGTTTCTGGAAATGGTATCATGGGTAAGTGCGATGGAGGAAGATGAAGGTGAAGGTGTAATGATAGTTTCCATTTTAGAGAAGATTTTCATTTTCAGTGGATAACGATGATCAAAGGTTTTCAAAGATAAAGTTAGCGACATTTCATATGTTTTATAGGGTGTGAGATTGAGTTTGAAATATCTTGGTTTTTAAAAAGGTTTTTACTTTTTACATAAAAGTATCTGGTAAATTTGTGAGTTTTGAAATATTTTAGTGGTTTTCTAAAATATTTTTTTAACATGAAAGCCCCAACAATTTTTTTTTTTTTGTTCATTAAAACCATAAGTTTGCATTTTTTTTTTTTTTCCATTTTATCTTTTTGTTTAATTCTAGTTTATTAAAGTATAAATATTCAGTTTCAACTTTTTCTGATTCATCAAAGTCGTTAAATTTGGTATAAATGTTCAATTTACCTGTAAAGGGCAAAAAATATAAACTGAAAAAACAAATGCAAACTTGTGACTTTAATGAACCAAAAATCATTATATGTACAAAATATTACTTCTATTTCTTTATAAATACTAAAATTACATGTATATCAACCTCAAACTATAAACTAATATCTATATTCAAATTCATAATTTAATTATGTTTAAATTAATTTAATACTGTTTAAAAACTTATCTAGATATCAAAATTCTATATGATTGTACTAAAATACACTTCCTAAAGTAAAGATTAAAATTAAACCTAATTAAATATTACAAAACTTCCTACGCATCATTAACATTATGTCACCATTCTTTTATCATCACAACTATTAAGATCATTTCAACTGTCAATTAAACCCAATTCTCCTATTCTTCATTGCAACATGTATATCTCTTCTACATTCGATTAATTTTTATCCTACATTCTATTAATTTTTACATATGATTAATTGTTGGTAAATGAAATTATGCATAGCGACATTTGGTGTAATCTTTTTTGCACTTGACCTGTTTTATAATCTTTTCTACACAGGAACCTGTTTTGCGATTTTTTTTTTCATATATGGACCATTTCTGTAATCTCTTTTTCTGCAGAGAGACATTTTCAGTAATTAAGTAGGGACTATTTCTGTATAAAAAATATTGCACAGGGACCTGTTCCATAATCTTTTTCTGCATAAAGACCTTTCCTGTAATATTTGTGTTGCATATGGACCTTTGGTTCCACCTAAATGGAATTTAATGGTCCACATTTTTGAACCATTTCAATATTACACAAATAAATGAAATCAATAAATGAACGTAACATGCAATCGTATACAAATAAATGAAATCATACACAAATAAATTAAAGTAACGTTGTTGGTGTCATTGAGACTTTTCTTAAAATTGGATTTTCAATTTCCTTTTTTTTTAACATCCTACTTTCATTTCTTCCTATAGCATCAAATACAATTTTCATGATAACAATTTTTTTTTACTATCGAATTTCTCCTGCATCTCACTGGTGCATCTTCCTAATTTCAACAACAAATAACAAAATTATAATTAATAAGAGAGCAAAAAAAAAAAAAAAAAAAAAAAAAACTACAACAATATAGACTCTTATGCTTGTAATCACAAGAGTGCAAATGTAATAGAATTAATGACTTACTTATCCAATAACTTATGTATTTTTATCAATTTATGCAACAAAACAAAATCTATTACCAATTTATGTGGTCACCTTTCAATTTCTTGCCAATTCGTTACCAATTTATGCAACAAAAATCGACCCCTTACCAATTAGTAAATCTATAAATGAATAATAAAAAATTGTAACAAATTTACACGTTGATGCATAAATTTGTAAGAAATCCACTTCGTTGCACAAATTAGTCATTAATAAAAGCCCAATATCATCAAGTTTCCCTCACAAAAATTGAAATTAAATATCTTGAATTATGTTTTGAATTAGGTAAAGTGTTTCAAAATTCTATTTTGAGATTTCCAAAGTGCTATAAATATATATTCCAAAAAAAAAAAAAGTCTTTAAAACACATACCAGACAACACATTTGAGGTGGTGCTACTGCTACCTACGAGCCATTGCCGCCACAATTCCACCAAACACAACCCCGATGGTGGTTGCAGCAATGCCTATGCCAATTACACCATCTGCATATATATGCAATTTTACAAAAATATAAGCCAAAAACAAAAATATAATACATAAAATTGTTTAAAAGAAATATACTTTCAATTATTTGTGTATTATATTTATACCCATATTCTGTTAAGTGTTTAACTAAAAAACTACATTTTCTACCTAATTACAAAAATCACAAAATGCTATTCTAATGATGAGGATGAGAAGGGTATTAACGTCTTTTTGTGATTTTTGCAAGAAATATGTAGAAAATGTCGTTTTTTAGTTAAACACTTAAGTGCTATTTGTTTTTTTGAAGCGAAAATGCATAAAGTCTGCGAACCACCTCTGCAACTCTCTGTGGCACAAGAAGTGGACTAAACGGCTGCAACATTTAATAAAAAGTCTGTTTGTTTTTTAACGTCTGCAGACTATTGCAGTAAGTTAAAATAAGGTATGAAGAAGTTTAAAGCAGTTGGTCTACTGCTGCGCCACGCAACACACGCGCAGCAATTTTTAAGTCAGAAGTTTTCTTAAAAGCAAACAGCTGCGAAGTGCCAAGTGCTGCGCGCCGCAACAATAAGTGGTTTAAAATGGTTTTTTACAAAAAACAAACAGCCCCTTAACCAATATATGGGAAGTCAAAGGAGACAATAAATGGAAGATGAAAATGAAAATGAAAATCATCAAACCTTTTTTAATATGGTCTTCAATTGTTCTTTTCAGATTCAATGCCTGCATCCAGTTGGGTGCTATCTATAAAAAAAATATATCAATCACTAACAAGTTTAAATTAAAAAAAAAATAGCAATGTATTTTCATTGATTTATTTTTATTATTTTATCAAAGCATCATATTAAAAGAAAGCACAACACCTCAATAACAAAAAATTGAAAGCACAATATTGAAAGTTCGAAACAATAAAAAATGAAAAATTAGACCTCCAAGCAGCGATCAACAAGTTGTCTACTTTTAGAGTAATCACCACTTCTATAATATCCAACAGCAAGTAGATACATCTTTTCTCTTGTTTGTAATGGGCTATTAGTATCCACCAATGAAGCTGAAACAACCAATAAAAATTAAAATCCATTATATTAAACATTTTTTTTTTATTTATATTTTTCCAACATTCAACTTTTTGTTTTGTTTAAATTAAAGTTGAGAACAAAACTCATGTGTTCACCTTCAAGCATTGCTATCCCACGTTGTACATCTTCGGGTCTCCTTGAATGAACAAGAGCCCATGATAAACGCATGTGACACTCATGTTTTAGTTCATCTTTAGAACCTTTTTCAGCTTCATTAACCTCACGCTCACAACCCTGTTTTATAAAATTGATTATTGAAATTATTATGTTACAATACACATGAAATTATTAATTATGCTTAAATTAAATTTCTATTATACAAAAACGAAAAATTATTGAGAGAAAACATCGGGAACAAACGCCATTGGATCTGTTAAACATTAAAATACATGTGTGCAACAATTAATCCAAAATTAAATTGTTAAGGAAATTCAGTTTTGGATGATGAAATGTAATTTGTGTTATTAGGGATAGGGTTTAATAGGAATTTGTTAAGGGATAAATGCTTACAACGACGATGTCGGAATCGCACCAAGGAATCTGATCACCGCCTGAGAAGAAGTCGCCTACGGACTCAAAGAACCTTCCGATCTTCGCTTCCATGAATTCCTTTCCGGTGCTAAGGAATTTACGAAAAAAATAAAAAGAAAATATGCATCTCTCACCTTGTCCTCGAGTTTATATATATATATATATATATATATATATATATATATATATATATATATATATATATATATATATATATATATATATATATATATATATATATATATGGGAAGAGTGAATATAATCTTAAGAGTATCTAAGCTTAGGTACCCAAACTTACCATGTTTTTCCATAAATTTAATTTTCAATTATAATATATATAGCTTAGTAGGTGTTCGGCAAAATATGTAATATAAGAGGAAGATGATAATGAAATTTCAAAAATATTTAAAGTAAATCAAGTTAGAGGTTGAAATTTAATAACATTATAATGAATATATCAAACGAAAATGATTAATTATGATAAGTTTGGATACCTAAGCTCATAAACTCTTAAGGGTATATTCACTTTTTCATATATATATATATATATAATATATATATATATATATATATATATATATATATATATATATATATATATATATATATATATATATTAAAATTGAGTTAAAAGATGAATAATGAACTTCTGTTTTTTTTTTTGGCAAAAATGGCCCTTCAATTATATAATTATATTAAAGTTGTGCATCAATAATAGTGAACTGGTCAAGTTTTGGAAGAAATGGTCATTTGATTACAGCCTATAATGCACTTTGAGATTATTTTTCTTACATGGGTGTTTTATGGAATTACTAGCTTTCTGTGTACACGTGTTGTTCATTGCTGCTGTTGTTTCACTGTATTTTATGTTTATCTTACCGTGTTTTTTAATCTATGGTATATCTCTTCTAGCAGCTTCCATCATTTTCCATTATTGGGTTTCTTCCACACACAAATTGAACTCATACGAGTTCTGAGTTTCCGATTATACCACCGAAGAGTGAAGTCGATCGATCGTTGAGTTCGCTTATATCACTCTGCCATAGCTGACGCCGCTTACTCCGGCTCCGCCACAGAACACTCCGATGAGTCTGCCTCCACCACTATAGAGGTCGGCGAGCCCTAATTTTGTGCAGGTCTACTTCGACCCCGCACACATCCACACTCATCTTATCGATCTTAACCCATCGACTTCCAAGGCCTCAGACCATTCTTCTTCACGCTTCCACTGCCTCTATGTGTCATCCCTTTTCTGCTCCACCGCCTCCTGATGTTACAAGCTGAAGTCAATCCTTTCGATCACCACGATCGTCAGCACCACCACATCATTGGTTCTATCCTCCATTATTAACGCCTTTGATCTGGCCTTCATGCTTGCTTTTTTCTACATTGTCGGCGGTTGTTGATTGGATGGGTTGTTTTGGAAGCAGCTAAGTAGCATTGGTCACTGTCAGATATAGAGATGGAGGGCAGGGAATCTGTATGCCTATGCCTGTTGTAACCATGTTCAAATCCTGTTGGTAATCTTATGACTCCTATTTCCATTGGATTTTAGGGTTCCATTTGTCTGATTGTTTAATGGGTTAATTTTTTTTGTTGAATCTCTGTAAAAAGCATGTCATTTTATTGTGAGAAAGATGGAGTTTGATCATATGGTCATAAAGGGATGTGGAGAACAAGACGGTGAACCATGAATACAGGACAAGGTAAAGACGATCTGTCAGATTTGATTTTAGATTATGCAATTATGATAATGAATATATTTACTAATTGTTTTTTATTGATTTTCTTTCATGGATGAATGAAATAGAAAACAACTTCTGAAACATTGGTAACTAAAGTTATGGGACCCTAGAACTCAACAAATTGATGAGATATATGCTTACTACGGAACAAAGGTAAATACGGATTAATGTTTTACATAATTACATTAATTGCCTAATTTATTAATGTTTATGTTAAATGTTTATCTTATACATTGCAACACATTCAACTAAGATAAGCGGGTCCTAAGACTTGATGTCACTTGAAGTTGTTTATGTTTCTCTCTCTGAATCATTTACGCTTTAAAAAATCAATAAATAAAAATTCCTATTTTTTATAAATTACATCATCTTCGCAAAATATGCACCGAAAAAGCCATTTTGTGAAAAGAAAATTTTATTCGAGAGATAGATGGCGTTTTGTTAAGGTTTTAAGTTTGCAAAAGTTGTTACCTTAATGGCTGAACCATTTATTGTGGAAAATGGCTTTTAGATTTCGATGGAATTGGAATTTCAGATTCCATTCCATTATGTGTTTTGGAATTCAATTCCATAAGAATTTGTCGACTTCGTGTTTGATAAGTTGAATATTCTTAAAGGAGGGCATTTATGAACCGGTGTTGAGCTTCTCATAAAAAGCTTAACCTCCATGATCAATTTCATTGTAGTTAAGGTTATATGTGATTACAAGAGTTGGAAATGAAAAGGATATGGATTTGTGCATTTTTTTTTTGTTTTTTTTCATTAATTTATTTTAATTTAAATTATGTGCATCATGAAGTTGTTGAATGAATCTTAAGGTATTTAGAGTTTACATACAACTGTTGAAAATATAGTTTACTTTAATTTTCAAGAACTATCTGGGTTTACTGTTGCATTTACAAGTGACACAAAGTGTTATTCATTTCGTTGGAGAAGATAGATCATTAATGCTTTTAGATCATTTAAACCCTCATAAGAATGGAAACAACTCAAATCTGTCTTTTTTGTCCATTTTTTACACAAACACCCGAACATATGTTGGGGGTTGATTTTGAAATTAATAACCATGCCTTTAAAATTTCCAAAGTTGACCTTCATTACAAAGCACTTATGCTTAAAAATTCTAATTATATACTTTTAATTCTCATCTTTTATAGTTAGTAAATCAGATAGATCATTCCATGAATTCAGTTTATACTTTATATTGAGGAAAACTTGGTGTTCATGTTGCAAAAACACAACATTTAATGAATGGCCTTCACTGGGCAGTCATTGACTAAAACCCTGGTCATAATCAAACCCCGCGGAGCGGGGTACCCCAACTAGTTTTAATTAATCAAATACATAGTACTTAGGGTAAATAGCATAAAAGACACTCAGTTTACACCAAAATTTTAATTTGACACAGTGTTTTTTTTTTCAAATTTGACACTGTGTTTTCCAATTTGTTACCATTCTGACATATTGACCAGTCAACTAGGTTACATGCTGATGTGGCATGATAACATGTCAGTTTTGATGATGTGTCAAAATTGAAATTTTTATTCAGAAAAAACACTAAGTTTTCACTTTTTTTTTTATTTTGACATTAAGTTTAATTTTTTCTTTCAATTTTGACACTATGTTTTTTTGTTCCAAATCGAACATCATTTTTTCCAATTTTATTCAATATTGTCAATTTTTTATTTGAAACCGTAAAAATATTTTTTTAATACATTTAAACAGTATTAATAAGTTTTTTCAATTAAAAACCATAGTTTTGTTTTGTATAAATACAAGATTTTTTTTACATTCAAACCATAATTTTATATATAAATATGTATTAGTTATATAAAAACCGTATTTTATATTAAATATGAATAAGTTTGGAGGTTTAGAGGCATGTAGTAGATCAAAACATGGATGTCAAGTTTGCAACCCATGAAATTTTTGCATCTTATTAGAAGCTTATAGTTAGTTTGATTCTCATGATATAACTAATGTATATTTATACATTATGCTTTGAATAAAAATAAAAAAAAATAAAAACCTTGCATTTAAATAAAAATATGGTTTTAAACAGAAAAATATATTTATATGGTGTAAAATGTAATAAAAAAATATATTTATATGGTTTCAAATGGAAAATGGTCAAAACTGAACAAAATTTGATAAATGGTGTTCGATTTGGAACAAAAAAACATAGTGTCAAAATTGAAAGAAAAAATTAAATTTAGTGTCAAAATCGAAAAAAAGTGAAAACGTAGTGTTTTTTGTAGAAAAAAAATTCAATTTTGACACGTCATCATATCATGTCAGCATGCTACATCATCAAAATCGACACGTCATCATGCCATGTCAGCATGTAACTTGGTTGACCGGTCAATTGGTATGGGCCACCCCACAGTCTTACAACACTCGTATCTTGCCATGACCACCACCTATGGTCTTACCGTTCATCTACCAGTCTACTCATACTCACCTTGAGTCGAACACGCTCTAGACTATGCTCCCAATCAGGTGCCCGGGTCACGCTTAGGACCTCAACCTAGATCCATATATATATATATATATATATATATATATATATATATATATATATATATATATATATATATATGTCTGCTATACATCACTAAGAAGACGCTAACCAATGGTTGAAATTTTCCTGAACTCCCAACTCACACAATCCTCAATCCAGATGGCCACTTGGGCCGCCTTCGTTCCCGACGGGGATGTGAAACTCATCCTAGTTTACGCCTGATTCCGCTCCCAGAATCTGAACGGTTCTCCCTGATAGCTTCATTTTATTTACTTTTTTTTTTATTTATTTTAGTACATTTCATTCGCATTTTAGTTAACTTCCATGCATATTTTCCCTTTTGTTATTTTTATGACCATTTCGGGGTACTTTCTAGTTTTTTGAGCATTATTGCAGATTTTCTTGGAAACTAGCGGCGCGACACTCTTAGGAAGCGATTGGGCTTGAAGGGAATTGGGGATTTCGTGCTTGATGTCTATGAAGGTGATTCATGGGGTGGACTTGTCAATTACTTGATGGCTTGGAAGAATTGAGCTTTAAATTTGAAAGACGCGGGAGAATTCTTGAGTATGCAAGATCAATCTTTGGGAGTTTGCGGAAGTTTTGAGTGATGTGGATAGACAAATTGGGCTTTAATTGAAGAAATATTGAAGAAAAAATGGGCTAGGAGCTTATTGGATTCGAACTGGGCCAATGGATTAGCTGTGGGGGCCTAAAACTTGAAGAAGCCCAAAAATGCCGACAGTACCCGCTGCCCGCGTAAGATTCCCCGCGGTCCGCGTGGATTCCTGACAAGGGCAATTTCGAGATTTTATCTAGAGCTCTATATTGGGAAGGTTGGTGTGCCTCTTCAGCCTTATCTTGAAGGTCCG